GAGGTCCAGACTGAGGCCAGGGTCCCCGCCCCCCCGGCCGCCCGCTCCCTCCCTCACCTCCTTGGCCAGGCGGCGACAGTCCTGGCTGCGGCGGCCGGCCGCCCGGTGCCCGAGGCCGCGCTCTTGCCGAAGCTCCAGCTCCAGGCCACGGACGAGTCCGCGCAGCGCCTCGGCCTCCTGGCGCGCCGCCCGCCCGGCCAGCGCCTCCTCCCGCGATCGGCCCAGCTGGGCCTCCAGCTCGCGCTTCTCCGACGCCAAACGCGACACTCTGGGAGCGACGGAGTAACAAAGCCATTAACAAAAGCATCGAAAGATAGAGAAAAAACTAACAAAAAGTGTGATGGAACATTATGGAGACATTAAATAAGACGTAAATAAATGTAGAGATATATAATCTGTTCATAGATTGGAATACTCACTATTTATAAAGATGTAAGCTGTCGCTAAATTGTTCTATAGATTCAACGCATTACCAATAAAAATTACAAGTTTTGTGTGTTTGTGCTAACAAATCTATTCTAAAATTTATATGGAAGTACAAATGGCCAAGAATAACCAAAATATTCCTGAAGAGGAAAAACAAAAGTATGAAGACTTGCTCTATCCAGCATCAGACTAATTATAAAGCTACAATTATTAAAAGAGCATGGTGTTGGCACAAGGATAGATTTATAAACCAATGGGCGAGAGAGCACAGAACCTCACCAATACATAAACGTTATTTGTGATAATGGCAACAATTGTTGAGTAGTAGAGAAAGGCCACTCTTCAACAAATGGCATTGGGGTTATTGACTCATCATCTGAAAAAAATACGAAAGAACCCCTACCTCACCAAAACTTAATTCCAGGTGGATTGCAGAAATAAATGTGCAAAACACAAAGAATTGAAGATGATATAGGAGAATGCCTTCATGACGTTGGGGAGAAAGGATTTCTAAGACAGGACAAAAATTACTAACTGTGAAGAAAAAAATTTGTTAGTGTACGTAAAAATTAAGAACTCTGCTCATCAAAAAATATCTCTAAGAGAGCGAAAAGGCCAGCTACAGAGAGGGAGGAGGTTTCTAAAACATAAAATCAACAAAGAATCTGTATCCAGTTCTTTATAGAACTCCTGGAAATGAATAATAAAAACATGACCAGAAAAAAAATAGATAAGACAGTTGAATAGACAACTCACACAAGGGGAAATCCAAATGGCTCCTAAACATACGAAAAGTTGCTTAACGTCATTGGTAATTAGGGAAATGCAAATCAAAACAACCAAAAGATGCCACAAAGTGTTATAACCACTTTGAAAAACAGTTTGGCACCAAGGTCAAGGGTTAGATCCCCGAAACAGTTTGGGCTTGGCATTATCTAGTAAAGCTTAAAGATATGCACACCATATGACAAGCAACTCTATTCCTGGGGATCTTACCTAGAGATGTATGAGTATTTAAACCAAGAACCATGCTCAGAACAGTGTGTGTGTGTGTGTGTGTGTGTGTGTGATAACCCAAAATTGGAAATTACCAATTTCACTGAATGTTAAAAATAAATTATGGTAGGGCCGGCCTGTGGCTCACTTGGGAGAGTGTGGTGCTCATAACACCAAGGCCATGGGCTCGGATCCCATATAGGGATGGCCAGTTAGCTCACTGGGTGAGCGTGGTGCTGACAACACCGAGTCAAGGGTTAAGATCCCCTTACTGGTCATCTTTTAAAAAATAAATAAATAAATTACGGTATATTCACTCTAAGAAAAAATATACAGCAATGAAAATGAATGAACTAGAGCTACACAAAACAGCATACATGAATCTTAAAAAGATGTTAGGCAAAATAATCCAGACACAAAAAAGTACATGCAATATAATTCCACTTATATAAAGTGCAAAAAGAGATTCGATTAAATTATATTGTTTAGAGATGCATACTTCAGTGGCAAAACCATAAACAAAGCAAATGAGAGAGAATCAGAGCATTTGGGAGAGTGGTTGGAGCACGCAGGGTCTCTCCCAGGAAAAGACACAAGGCAAGTTTGGGGAAATGGCCACTTTCAATTTCTTAACCTGTGTGGTTGTTACATGGGTGCTGGCTTTATGATAATTTTTTTAAATGTACATTTATGTTTTACACTCTTTATTTTATATGTATTATTACATTTCACAATAAGAAAGGAGAAAGTTAAGTAGTGAGAAACAGTGGGACAATTGGGCAAGGAGGTGCCATCCCCCGAAATTCTGATGTAAGTGGCCTGTCTGGGGGCAGCACAGGCATCAGGAGTTTTCAAAGCTCCCAGGATGATTTGAAAGTGCAGCCAGGGAGAACCGCTGCACTGGGTGGGGACTTTAAACGAGGGAGCCAGTTCTCAACAGCTGAACTCAGTCTCAACACCACCTGGCAGTAGGAAGTGCACAGCATTACTGAGGAAGGTGTCTGAATCCAAATCTGATTAAACCTATAGGATTAACCACCACTTCAGAGGAGGACATTAAACAACACCATGGTGATATAATCAGCAAAATCAGACTGGAAAACTCTACAGTACAAATAACCTGGTTTCTTCCACAAATAAATAGCATGAAAAAGCAGTGTGGGGGAGGGAGGAGACTAAAATAAATTAAAAGAGATTTAAGAAACAACACCAGGAGGGCTGGCTGGTTCGCTCAGATGGTTACAGGGCAGTGTTGCAACACGAAGGTCAATAGTTCAGATCCCTGTACTGGCCAGCTGCCAAAAAACTTAAAAATTAAAATAAATAAATAAGAACATCTACAAACTGCAGTACGTGGCTGTATTTGGATACTAATTCAAACAAACCAATTACAAAAAGGACATTCATGAGATAATTACAGAAGTGTGAATATATATATACTGGGTACCAGATGACATTATAGAATTTTTATCAATTTTGTTGGATGTGATAGCAGTGCTTATATTTTTTAAAATATCCTTATATGTTAAAGACACATATTGAAGTGTTTACAGGATGTCTGGAATTTGCTTCTCGGGAGAGGGGAGGGGGTAGATCAAACAAGAGGGGGAGGGCTGGCCCGGTGGTGCACTCGGTAGAGTGCGGCGCTCCCGTCGAGGGTTCGGATCCCATATAGAGACCGGTCCGCTCACTGGTTGAGCGCGGTGCGGGCGCGACACCGAGGGTTGCGATCCCGTTACCGGTCACGAAAAAAGACAAAAAGGAAAAAAAAAAAAAAACAAGAGGGGGAAAATGTGGGTAAGTGTTGAAGCTGGGGCACAAGTACATGCAGATTATACTACTGCCTACTTTTGTATGTGCTTGGAATTTTTCCTAATAAAACATTTTGAAAATCTGTGGTTCCCCGCCACTCTCCAAACAGCTTCCCTTTCAGCCCCTCCCAGCGACTCCTCCCTCCCTCTCCCCCAACCTCCCTCTCCCACAGGGCTGCAGCCAGGCTGCACTTCTCAAATGCAGTTCCCTCCTTCCAGAATGCTCTCTCCTCCTCCTGGCAGGACTGACTCCACTCATCCAGGGAAGCCTGCCTGCCTCCAATGTTCTCTGCTCTCCCAGCTCTCCGTAAATTTCCTTCCTAGCACCAACCGCAAAAGAGCTGGCATTTATCAGTATGACTGTTTTCTGTCTGGATCCCCACCCCGTGGGGACAGAGTCTCCATGTGTCTGGTTCACTGTGTAGGAAACGGCTCTGTGGCCATGCTGCCTGCATTCAACTCGCGACCTTGGGCAGTTTCACTTCACATCTCTGGACCCCAGTCCATTTTTTCTCGTGTGTGAAGAGGAATAATAATAATAATACCCACCTGTAAGGTTGTAGGAATCTATGAAGAATATTTAGACCATATCTGGTATAAAGCAAGCACTCAAAAAAAGAAAAAACAGGGCCCGTGGCTCACTCGGGAGAGTGTGGTGTTGATAACACCAAGGCCATGGGTTCGGATCCCTATATCGGGATGGCCGGTTAGCTCACTTGGGTGACCATGGTGTTGACAACACCAAGTCAAGGGTTAAGATCCCCTTAACAGGCATCTTGGAAAAAAAAAAAAAAAACAGTGCTGGGCAGTGTACCTGGCATACAGTATGAACTTGATAAATGCTGAATGAATGAATGAATCTTAGAGCCTTCCAAGCTCCCTATCTCCAGGCTGGGAAGAGGAACTTAAGGAGCTACTGACCAGCGGTGGGATCTCAAGTTACCCTCTCCAGCTCGGCGGTTGGTTCCGAAGGGCAGAAGGCGCCACCTTGTGGCCTTCTTGAGACAGACACACGCACACGTACCAGAGGGGAGTGCACGCTCACAGCTTGAGGGCAGATCCTGAGGATGAACTGAGATGAAGCTTACCGTGCTTCCCACGCTGGCCTCCCCATTGCGGCTTTCCTACCTCAGCCCAGCAGTGAACAGCCAATATCCTCCGGGAAGAGGCACAGGGTTGCCCAGCCCCATGAGTTCCCATTCCTGGGAGCACAGAGGGTTGATCCTCCCTGCCAGCACTTACCACTCAGTCCTGGGCTAGCAGCCACCAATAAGGCAGAATGGCTAGCTGCCTGTATCTAAGGTCTAGCCGAGCCAGATTACTCACTGTGTGAGCTGGGGCAAGATCCCTAACTTCTCTGTGCCTCAGTTTCATCCTTTGTAAAATGGAAATGATAGCAGTGCCTACCTTGTAGGGTAGTTGTTGAGGATAATATGAATTAAATCACAAAGCACTAAGCAGAGTCTCTGGCACACAGTTAAATGCTCAATAAACATGAGCTATTGGTATTGTTATTACTATTACTATTACTATTATTATTATTACTAAAAATACTATTAGTCCTTCCCCATGAGGTGGGACTCCCCCAGGTAGAGACCAAGGCCCCAGTTCAGCTCCCCCAGAGCAGCACACAGAAGGCATGCGTGAATAAATATGCCAAAAGCCTTTCCTGTCTTCCCTTAACTCTTTCAGTCCCCTTGTTCTCACCACATTCCCACCTAACACAAGGACTTTGCACATGCTGTCCCTTCTGCCTACAGTGCTCTTCCTCAGCCCCTTTGCCTGACCCACCCCAATACCCCATCTGGTTCCTGTTATAGCCTCCCACAGCCCAGGCTCCCTTTCCTGCCTAACCCCATCTCCATTTGCAATGATATACTCAAGTGGTTATGTGATTAATGTCCATCTGCCTCCTGGGCTGGGCATGACATGAGGGGCAGAGAGGGGGCCAGCACAAAGAGGTGAAAGTGGATTCAACTGAAAATAGCTCAACCTCCCACCCTGCCTTGGCACATGCTGTTCCCTTTGCCGAAAACACCCCTCCGTTACCAGGCAGGGTCAGGTCCCCGCTCTGGGATCCCCCAGCCCCACCCACTCTAATCTTCACTGTCTGCAGACAGATCTATTTCCCTCACTGGACTGGGAGCCCCAGAAGGGCAGGGCTAGGATAGCTTCAGTCACCACTGTGTTCCCAGCACCACCCAGCACAAGGCACGCACAGAGGAAGGGCTCAGAATAAATACCCATACACGGTGAATAAGGGCCGCCATCTTCCCAACAGTGCCGAGCATGGGGCCCCCGTAGTGCATGACTGGAGGTACCCCCACCCCACCCCAGTCGCCCCCCGCTCCAAGACTCACTGCTCCCGCAGGTGCCAGATCTCAGTCTCCCTGGTGTCCCGAGCGTCCTGGCCATCCAGCCCTCGAAGGCGGCCCAACTCCTCCTTCAGTGAGCGGATAATGCCCTGCAGGACCACAGGGTCTGGCTTGCCCTGGTACGGGAGGGGCAGCGGGTAGTGAATCCTGAGGAGGGGGGATTAGAACCGTGGCATCTTAGAGGCCAAGAATCCACCAAAGGGTAACTACAAAACTCTGAGATTCTTGGAGTATGAAAACACATGCCAAAAACTTCACCCTCCTAGAGGCTTACATTCTAAATACAGCTTCAAGACCCCTCCCTGCCCCCAAACCCCTTACACCAGTCACCACCCCCGTGTTACTTGAAGCCAAGAACAATCCTGATCCAGATTCCACAATAGAACATTCTGGTTGGCCTGACCTAGGTCACCCCTTGGCTGAGGAAAGTAGGACACCTTGATTAATTGCCTCACCAGATACTATTCACAGAAGGTTGGTAACTTCCCGTTAGAAATCCAGGAGCTATTAACAAACGGGGTAGACACTGTCCCCCAACTACCCAACAGCCATTCCCAAATCCCTTCTTTGCTGCTTCCCACTATAAAGACTAAAAAGTCAGACATTTGTTTTCCCCACATCCCTTCCATGTGACTGCTTCTGGCCAAATATTATGGGTAATCTGTTGGGAGTCTTCTGGGAACCCTTCTGTTTTCCTGACAAAAACAGCAGACGCAATTAGCAAATACAGCCCTGTCCCTCTTCTTCATGCCTTAATACAGATACAATGCCTGGAGATCCAGCAGTTATTTTGTGACCATGAAGAGATAAAGATGAGATCAAAAAGCCAAAACATTAAGGATGACAAAAATAAATAAATAAATGAAACAAAAACAGAAAGAGCTAAGTCCCTAATGGAACTGTTGAGTAGCAGCCACCTACCTAGACATCTTATTATGTGATAAAGTATTATTTGTTTGGGGCACCAGTTATGGTTATTCTGCTACTTGTAGCCAAATACAGTACTAAATGATACAAACCCCAACACCAAAGATCTCAAAGGCAAGGCTTAACCAATATCCTCACCTTACCCTGGTTACCAGGGGTTCCTGAGGTCTAACCACATCCTCTCCCACCTTGCCCACCAGCCTGGGCCTAGAGCCAGCCCCTTGTCCCCACCTGTCAAACTCCACAGAGTAGATGAGGATCAGATAGCGCTTGGAGTTGAGCTGGGCTGATCTGGGGGCCAAAGAGCCTGGACGGCCTCCCATCTTGCGGTTCCGCAGGGACTCCAGGTCGGTGTAGGTCAGCAGGTCTAAGGTGACTGACTCACTGCTCTGTCAGGAGAGGAGGGGAGTTGCTGCTGCAGGACTCCATGTGGCCACAATTCAGAGCACACAACCCATACACCTGGGCCACGCCCCTTCCTATTCTCTGGGCTGGCTGGGCTTTCCTACACTGAAGCTAATGATCAAGATGGCCCTGTCCCAGGGGCTAGCACAAGGACATCATCAGAGGGAGAAACTGAAAAGAACCTAAATACTCAACTATGGGGGACAGTTTAGATTTGTGACTCTCCAAGTGTTGTTGGCAGATCCCTGGGGGTCCCTGAGACCCTTTCAGGGAGTCCATGAGGTCAAAACTATTTTATCATAAAACTAAAACCCCATTTGACTTTTTCACTGTGTTGACATTTGCACTAAAGGTGCAAACATAATGGTGGGTAAAACTGCAGGCTCCTAAGCAGAAATCAAGCCAGTGGCACCACACCGTACTAGCAGTCACTGTATTTTACACAGCCATGCAATCTCAGCAGGGGGCTGGTAGGGAAGAGGAGAAATAAAGAAACAAATAAATAAATAAAACCCACAGGAAATGAACCTCAAGAATGTTCTTGATGAAGCAGTAAAAAGTATTAATTTTATTGACTCTCAACCCTTGAGAACACATCTCTTTACTATTCTATGCGACGAAACGGGAAGTACACACTAAGTACTTCTGCTGCATGCCAAAGTAGGGCAGTGGTCTCAGGAGAAGCATTTGTGCAATTGAGTTTTCAGCTAAATAAGCCACTTTTTCATGGAACACTATTTTTACTTGCAAGAACAACTGACAAGCAAAACTATGGTTATTCAGACTTGGATATCTGGCAGGCATTTTCTCAAAAACGAACAAAGTGAGCCTGTCGCTTCAAGACACAGCTAAAGGGTTGGTTGCCAATAATAAAATTCAAGCTTTGAACTTGAATTAGAATTAGAGTTTTAGAAAACTTGTATCTGCCACTGTGTATTTGATAGCTTCTAGCTGTTCAGACTTTCCTGGTGAGATCAGTGGGGATATTAACAAATGTGACTTCCTGATTTGTAAAAGGAAATATGTCAACATTTGGAAGATATGCACAAATCAGTGAACCAATATTTCCCAAATAATCGATACATGATGTTACAAAATCATGCACAGGTAAAAAGTGCAAAGCGCAAAATACATCAACAGAATTTAATGTAACAATACTAAAAGTTCATTGATGACATTTCAGATTCCGCACTGCAAACTAACCTTTAAGAAACTACCACTTGTCGAGTATTTAGTGTGTTAGCAAAGAAGGATAGCCACAATTATCTGAAAAGTACTCCCTTTTCCAACTACATATCTGTGTGAGGCAGGATTTTTCTGCATATACTTCAACCAAAACATATCACAACAGACTGAATTCAGAAGCACACAGGAGAATATAGCAGTTTTCTATTAAGCCAGACATTAAAAAGATTTGCAAAAACATAAAACAATGCTACACTAATTTTTGTTTTAGAAAATATATTTTTCATAAAAATATGCTATTTAGGTTAACACATAGCCTTAAAATGTTATTTAGGTTAACATATAGCCTTAATAGCCTTGTTATTGCTATTTTTAAGTGAATTCATAAATATCTTTGAATTTTTCTTTTTTAATATCTGACAAATAACAATATTTGTTATTAGTAATTTGACAAACAAATATTGATAAATATAACCTGCATAAGTAAAAGCTCTTTGGTGACCTCAATAATTTTTAAGAGAATATAAGAGTCATGAGACCAAATAGTTTGAGAACCACAAGGTTAAATAAATCACGATGCACAAGTATAATGGAATACTAAGCAACCACTAATGATGATAAACTCAGTAGTTAAAATAATAAAAATACATAACACCTATATAGCACTTATTATGAGCCAGACTCTATTGTAAGCTTTTTTACATATATTTCACTTAATCTTCACAATACTATGAAATGGAAACTACTATTATTCCCACTTTACAGATGGGGAAATCAAGGCACTGAGGGGAAGTAACTGGCCCGGGGTGCCCAGCTAGTAAGTGACAGTGATGAGCCCAGCTAGTAAGTAACAGTGATGAGTCTGAATTCAGAGTCCTGCTCTGGGTCGCTATGCTATACTGCCTATAGATACTAAAATATTAACAGTCTGGGTGGAGGATAGAAAAGGGATTATAAGGGACTCTCACTTTCAAAGTCACACATCAACGTTAATATCTTCACAATTTTATGAGTGCATATTTTATCTGTTATCAGAGAAACAATATACCTCATAGTTTTAAAATGTTACCTAAATACCATCTGTATCACTTTCAGTTCAAACCTGCTTTTTTTTTCCTATTAATAATTTCAACTACTTGACATGATTTTTTTTTCAATTGTCTCTCTCCCACTAGAATGTCAGCCTCACAAGGACAGAGATTTGTCTCTTTTGTTCACTGCTGTATCCCCAGTGCCTACAATGGTGCCTGGCAAATGGTAGATGCTCAGTAAATAAAACAAATGAATGCCTATATTCATTGACATGACTAAATTTTCATGAACTATTGTTGAATCTTTTAAAAGCGGGTTGCAGAATACCTTGGAAAATATATCAACTATATATAATTACAGGTCTGCAATATATACACATCCACATTCAGAAATAGAGAAATACAGAAATGGCTGGAGTAATTTTCACCAAAATATTAACAGAAATGAGTATTAGGAGTAAAGTGATTTTTACTTTCTTGTTTATATTTCTCTGTGACCTGAATTTTCTACATGAGAATAATTATCATTAGAATCAGAATAAACCATTTACATTTGGAAAAGAAGAAAAAGATAGCCCTGCTCCTGCAATGAAAGATAAGGTAAAGAATCTTGGATACATCTAATAGGCATCTACCCCCCAGGACTCTGGAAGACACAAACCCCCCTCGACCCCCAGCCATGGCTCCTACCTGGGTAAGAGCCGACTCCAGCATGTTACAGAAGATGTTGAACTGTTTGAAGTTCCCTGTCTTGTGAGTCAAATCTTCGATGACTGGGTGGAGAAAAAAGTCCCTTCTGAGGTCTGACCACTTGTCCAGCCCAAGGGGAATACATCTAAGCTCTTCAACTCTCCCTGACTCCTGTGCCTCTGGCCAGAGGAATGAGGCCTTCTCCTCCTCCCCACCTTGGAGAGTTTCTGGTCAGAAAGAATGAGGCACATGGGCAGGATTCTGACTAGCTTCATCTTCTGGCAGAAGCTGATCCCAGGGGAGGAGAGGTGAGCTCACCCCAGGGAGGCACACACTCACAGCTGGCATCGAACTCGCCCCGCCACTGGTCAGCTGTCATCCGGTCCTCCACCTCCAGCTCCAGCACCTGCCCAGAAACCACTACCCGCACGGCATGCTCCACACCCCGGAAGATGTAGTCCACCTGAAGGCCCGCTGGCTGGTCCATGGCCAGGGCTGCTGGAGAGAAGAATGAGACAGAGACCTAGAAGGGCTGAGAGCCCAGGTTTATGAGCTGCAAGGCCAGGATTCATACCCTGGCTCTAGCATTTATCAGCTGTGGAACCTTGGGAAAGTAACTTCACCTCTCTGTGCCTCAGTTTCCTTATCTGGAAAACGGGTATAATAATGGCACCTACCTCATGGAGTTGTTGTGAGAATTAAATTTGGCAATACACATAAAAGCACTTAGAACTGTGTCTTACACATCACTACGTCCAATACATGCTGGCTAATAGCAATATATGATTATCAACCAGAGAATCATGATTAATACTTTTAATTTATTAATCCTTATATTCATTATACATTTATTATTATTCATTCATTCATTCATTCATTCAGCAAACATTTGTGGAGAAAAATTAAGCTGGAAAGGGGGACATGCAGTATTTGGGAAGGGTACAGCAGAACTTTTAAACAGGGGGTCAGAGCAGGCCTCTCTGAGGACTGATATTTGAGGAGAGATGGCAAGCCATTTGGCTATGGGGGAAAGTGCTCCAAGTCAAGGAGATAGCCAGTGCTATGTATTGTCTATAACACACTTAAGCTATTTACATTAAATTAATAATTGATTGTATTAATTAGACTGCTGTAAGGATAACTACCTTCTCTTAGCCAATAGAGCTATGAACTGTTAGTTCTACAAGGAGCCGGAGAAGAGGATGAGACCCCTACCCTCAGCCCAGGATTCTAGGGGGTGTTCAGAATGGGGGCTCCAGGCCGCCTGTGTTCCTATCTAGGTTCTTCTGTCTTTTTTTTTTTTTTTTTTTTTTTTTTAAAAGATGACCGGTAAGGGGATCTTAACCCTTGACTTGGTGTTGTCAGCACCACGCTCAGCCAGTGAGCGAACCGGCCATCCCTATATGGGATCCGAACCCATAGCCTTGGTGTTATCAGCACCGCACTCTCCCGAGTGAGCCACGGGCCGGCCCCTATCTAGGTTCTTCTGTATGCACACGGGCAAGTTACTTAACCTCTCTGTCAGCCAGATTCTTTATCTGTAAAGCAAATGCCATCCTGGGTGCTGTGGATTTGATAAGAAACCAAATTATATCCCCATCTTCAAAGGGGGGCAACGGACAGATGGATAAAAATGTCAAGTAGTGGGAAAGGGGATGTTCGGGGGGGGGGGGTATTCTTTTAGCTAAGATGGCCAGGGAAGGCCTCTCTGAGCAAAAGCCTGGGCGGGGGAAGGGGGCGGTACATGAATATCTGGGGAAAGAGTGTCCAGGAAGTGGGAAGAGCCAGGCAAAGGCCTGAAGGTGGGATGTTACTGGTTTGTTACAAGAACAGCAAGGTCATTGTGGCTAGGAGAGAGTGAATGAGGGAGGTCTAAGTAATTAGATCAGAGATGTAACAGGAGCCAAATGACGTTCATAAAGGTCTCTGTAAGCCCACAGGATAGCAGTCTCCACCTCCTTGGACTGGTATAAGGATTAAATAAGAGTGTTAATTAAAATCCTTGGAGAACTTAAGCAATGCCTGACACATAGCAAGCATTCCATACATATCGGCATTACCATTGTTATTGTTATTACCACTTTGTTGTTTCTGAGCTTGAAAGGACTATAGAGACAAGCAAGTCCATTCCCTCCCCAGCGGAAAGATGGGGAAACTGAGGCTCTGCAAAAAAAAAAAAAAAAAAAAAAAAAAGGGTCCAGTACAGGGCCCCCCAAAGCTGTTCCAAAGACAGAGCCACCAACTCAGACCATGAGAACTCCCGTCAAGGCCTGGTCTCCTTCTCTCCCCACCACCTCCTCTAGTCCTCACACTTTCCCCAGGAAGTCCTTCCAAACGTCTAACATCAGAAAATATTATATTGTGAGGCAGAAAATGATGTGTCCTGAAACTCCAGATCAGTGATTTTTAACCTTTTTAGTGTCCCTGAGCCTTTGAAAATCTAATGAAATCTCTGAATCCTCCCCAACAAATATGAATAGTCCCACAACCTTTTACAACTGAATACTCCCAATAAATATGAATAGTTCCCCACAACCTTTTACAAGTAATTTCAGGGACTCCCAGAATAGTACCCTTCCCCCACCCCCCAGCCTATCCACAGATCCCTTTTCCTCAGAGACCCAAGGACAAGCCTGAGCCCTAGGCGTCTTGACAGGCACCTCTGTCTCTAGACTGGAGCTCTTTTCTTTATTTGGGGAAATGGTGCTTTGGAGTGCTCATGAAATCTGGGGAAGCCTTCCTCTGGAATATTCACACTCTTGCAATTGTGCTTTCATTTGCTAGGCATTCAAAGGTCCGGGTTAATAATACTTGATCTCGCTTCAAACAAATGGGGGTGGGGAGGGGCCGGTAGGGGGATCCGAACCCATGACCTTAGTGTTATAAGGCTGCGCTCTAACAAACAGCTAACCGGCCAGCCTGGCCCCGCATTTCAGCATATTCCTCATCCTCTCTGGCCCCCACTGCAGTACCAGGCAGCTCTGGCCCGCCCCACCGTGCCCTACACCCCGCCCGCCGACCCCGCCCCTCAGACTCCGCGAGCCAATCAGCGGCTGTGCCGTCCAGGTTACCAAGGCGTGGGAGGTATTCACGGAACACCTGCGGAGACGCTCAGCACCACTGCCCCCCTCATGGTACCCAACTCCCAGGAAGAGACCAAGGAGAAGAAAGGAGCTCATCACACCCCATCCGCGCCGCCACCTCGGCCCTGACCTCCTCCTTCCCCACTCCCCTGCATAAGACGCCCATTCTCACCCAGCGAATAGCCAACCCTTTCCTCCTCCAACTGCCTGATATCATTAGCCGCACCCCGCCCTCAACCCCAGATATTAAGCCTCCGAATATTCTGCCTGAATTCAACCCTACCCTTAACATACATACTTCCCTCACCTCTACAAACTTCGCCCGCTCCCCTCCCCTATCCCCTCTTCTAGGCATGTCAGAAGCGCTCGGTAATTGCTGATGGAATAAATCCCACGCCCTTGCCAGCTCGACCCGCCCCCCATCCCTAATCCCAGCTCCCCATTATTCATTTCCCAGACGGCCACGGAATACTGGGCTCCCCTTCCCCTCCTCTCCGCAGAACCTTCCTCTCTCCATCCCAACCCCCTCCCCCCAGAGTCTCTTATTTCATCCTCCTCTCCCTGATTTGAGGGGGAGGGGAAGCCACACTCTCCTCCCCATACCAGCTTCCAATGTTCTCCTAGGGTTCCCCCATATTCTACCTGAATTCTGTCCCTCTCATTATTCCGCCTGCATTCTGCCTACATATTTGCTCAAGGTTCTATTCTACACACACCCCACTTTCAGCCTGTATTCCAACACTCCCATATTTCACCTGGATTGTGTTCCCTCCTAAATTGTATGTAAACCCCACCACCACCACCCATCCGCGCACACATTTTCCACCTCTCGTCTTCGGAGAGGTCCCCTGAACACCGCCCCCCCCCCCCTATTCTGGGATTCCCTGGGCCCTGAGGCCCCTCCTCCCCTCCTGCAGCCGACCCTGTCCCTCTACCTGCATCGTCCATCCTTGCTTCGTGACCACAGGCCCATCCTGGTTGCTGATTTCATTCCAGTCCCACGTCTCTCCTAGCTCTTCTTCGCCTCGGCCTCCGGACCCGCATCCCGGCTGTGCCTTCTAGGCCCCGCCCTCGCCGACCCGTGACGTCATCACCCCAACCCGGCATGAGCCTCGTGGACACCCCAGCACCCCATTCGGGCCCACACATCTGACCCCAGTTCTCCCGCCTCATGACATCATGGCTCCAGCACACGCACACTCAGTCTTCCAGTCCCCAGCCCTCTCTCCCTCACCTTTCACTACGGTGACCCCTTCTCCTTTCCAGTTACATCACCATCCCTGGCTCCTCCTCACGAATTGTGCTCCCGATATCTCACAGATTTCACAGCCCTCACCTCAGGGCCGGAACTCAGAACCCTCCACGCTGGGCTCCCCAAAGACAAATCCACATCACCACCTCCCACACCGGACATGGGAAAGTCGCCACCCCGGCAGCCCACACCCAATAGCTGTTTTCCCACCCTCTGCAGCCCCCAGCACCACTGATTCCAGCTCAGCCATGACCTAGCTGGCCTCTGCAGTGCAGCGCACCCCCCTACATACACACGCATGGCCTGGCCTGTATGACCCCTCCTCGCCCCCATTCTGAGCTCAATTCCCCACGTGGGTGAATTTGAGCTGGCTAGAACTCCCTCACCCTTCACCCCTGCACTCCCCCAGAATACAGACCAAAGCCTTCAACATAGCCCCCATGTAATGTAATAGACACAAAAGCCCTTTAGGGAACCCCACAATCCAGACTTCCACAGTGCACACTGCAACTCCCTGGGGTGTCCAGATCCCCTCTTCCATTGTCCCTCAAACGGTTTTTGCCTTAGATAAGGATCATGAACACTTACCAACCCAATGACTCACCCTTAATTCTGCTCTCTGGTAGGTATTATAACCATCCCCGTTTTACAGAAGATGAAACTGAGGCTTGCCTAGGATCCCATAGCAATGGACAGGAACGTTTGTCCCTCTACTCATTACTCAGTGCCCATCCCTGACCACCTCTCATTTCCTCCCAGAACTCTCTGCTCCCTTCCCTCCCAGCACAACCCAAATGTGGCTTCACACCTTGAGTATGGCACATGCTACAGGCTGGTGACTCCTGGGTTCAGATCCCAGCTCCACCACTTACCCACAGTGTGAACTTGGGCAAGCCACTTGCCCTCTCTGGGCCTTTTCCCACCTGTAAAGTGGGATAATAAGAGATCCTACCGATTAAACTAATTAATGCATATAAGGTGGTTCAAACAGTGTCTGGCACTCGTTACCATCTGTGTGATTAGCTGACGATTAGTGGACAGACCAGGAGCCCATGAGGGCAGAGCCATTTTGATCATTCTTGTATCTTCAGTACTCCGGCATGGCAGAGATCAGAGACTGCTTGTGAATTTAATGGGAGATGCCAGGAAACA